GTCAGCAGCACCATCAGCATCAGCATCAGCATCAGCATGAGCATCATCAGCATCATCAGCATCAGCCTCAGCATCAGCATCATCATCATCTTCATCATCGTCAGCAGCAGCATTATCGTCATCATCAGCAGCATCAGCATCGTCATCATCATCATCATCATCAGCAGCAGCAGCATCATCAACATCGCCATCATCATCCACATCCTCATCCTCCTCCTCACCATCATCATCAGCATCCTCCTCCTCCTCCTCATCATCAGCATCATCATCGGCATCACGATCACCATCACAAGCATCATAATCAACATCAGCAGCATCAACACAGACATCATCACCATCAGCATTAGCATCAGCCTCATCATCATCAGCATCATCAACATCATGAGCAGCCTCATCCTCCTCCGCGCCCTCATCATCATCATCATCATCATCATCATCATCATCATCATCATCAACATGACCATCAGCAACATCATCAGCATCATCATCAGCATCATACGCATCATCATCAACACCAGCATCATCAGCACCAGCATCAGCATCAGCGTCATCATCTTCAGATTGATCATCATCATCATCATCATCATCATCATCATCATCATCATCATCATCATCATCATCATCCTCGGCATCATCATCACCATCGTCATTATCAACATCGTCATGGTCATCAGCATCATCATTAGCATCCTCATCCCCCTCCTCCTCCCCCTCCCCCTCCTCCTCCTCCGCCTCCTCATCCTCCTCCCATCATAATCCTCACCATCAGCAGCAGCATCAGCATCATCAGCATCAGCATCAGCATCAGCATCATCATCATGTTCTTCATCATCAGCATCTTCATCATCATCGGCATCGTCATCCTCATCATCGTCATCACCATCATCACCATCAACATCAGCAGCGTCATCATCATCATCATCATCATCATCATCATCATCATCATAATCATCATCATCATCATCATCATCATCCTCATCATCGGCAGCAGCAGCACCAGCAACATCAGCATTGGCAGCAGCATCAGCATCATCAGCATCACCATCATCATCACCAGATTAGTCAACAGCATCATCATCATCAGCATTCCGCATCATCATCGTCATCATATTCATCATCATCGTCATCGCCATCAGCATCAACATCATCAACAGCATCATCAGCCTCCTCCTCCTCTTCCGCCTCCTCATCCTCCTCCTCATCAGCAGCAGCATCAGCATCGCCATCACCGTCGTCATCACCATCGGCACCATTGGTATCACCATCATCATCAGCATCGGCATAAGCATCGTCATCATCACCACCAACATCATCATCATCAGCATCATCGTCCTCATCATCGGTGTCGTCGTCATCAACATCATCATCATCATCATCATCATCATCATCATCATCACCATCGTCATCATCATCATCATCAGCAGCACGAACAGCATCAGCATCAGCATCAGCAGCAGCATCAGCGTGAGCAGCATCATCATCATCATCATCATCACCATCATCATCATCATCATCATCATCATCATCATCATCATCATCATCATCATCATCATCATCATAACCATCGCCACTAGCATCATCATCACCATCACCATCACCATCACCATCATCAACACCAGCATCAGCATCAGTACCCTCATCAATTTCACCATCATCAACAGCATCAGCATCATCCTCAGCATCATTATCGTCATCATTATCGTCATCATCATCATCATCATCATCATCATCATCATCATCATCATCATCATCAGCATGATCATCACCATCATCATCATCATCATCATCATCATCATCATCATCATCATCATCATCATCATCAACATCACCATAATCAATATCCTCCTCCCCCTCCTCTTCCTCCTCCTCCTCCTCCTCCGATCTCTCGATCCGCTACCGGCGCGCGCGTGGAGCCTCTGGCGAGGCCCTGCGGGCACCGCGGCGCCAGCCGAGGCAGCGCAACAGGCAGGAACCTCAGGCTGGGGCGGAGGGAGGGAGGGAGGGAAGGAGGGCGGGCGGGGAGGGAGGGAGGGAGGCTAGACTCGACCCTGAAAGGGGGGAGGGAGAAAGGGAAGGGAGGGAAGGATGGAGGAGGAGGAGGAGGATAATGATGATGCTGATGATGCTGATGATGGTGAGCATGATGCTGATGATGATAATGATGATGATGCTGATTCCGATGATGATGATGATGATGATGATGATGATGATGATGATGATGATGATGATGATGATGATGATGATGATGATGCTACTGATGATGATGCTGCTGATGATGATGATCGGGATGGTGACGGTGATGATGCTGATGATAACGATGTTGATACTCGTGCTGATGCTGCTGGTGCTATGTGGCGCTGCTGATGATGATGATGATGATGATGATGACGATGATTATGATGATGATGATGACGATGCTGATTATGATGATGACGATGATGATGATGCTGATGGTGATGGCGGTGATGATGATGATGATGATGGTGATGGTGAGGGTGCTGATGCTGATGGTGCTGATGCTGATGATGATGACGATGGTGATGGCGATGCTGATGATGCTGCTGATGATGAGGATGAGGGCAGCGAATGGGCTCAGGATGGTTTGGGATTTGCCATCAGAACGCTGGGCACCAACCCAAGAACTGTACTGAGGAGGCACTGAACATGCTATCCACCTTTTTACTACTATGACCAGCCTCTCCTACAGGCCAGCCTGAGCATTCAAATGCCAACAATAGCTCTTCCGCTCCTGTTAGTTGCAGCGCGCCCAATACTATTCTTGGGGGATGGGGGACTCTTATTGGGCGGTGAGGTGGTGGAGGTAGTGGTGTTCTCAGACAGCTACTCCAGGTTCTCTGTCACAGCTTCTGCGTGAGCAATCTGCCCACGCAAGAATACTGACAACACAGTGCTGCATGTTTACTCATCACCCCTCCTGCGCAGCCCAAACATGTGCTCCTGGCCAGTAACACTACAGGCCAGCCACACGGCCAGCCTACTCTAGAGGCCAGCCCATAGGCCCATTGTTTATGGCCCACAATAGTTGAGCCTTCCATCGGCCATACTGCCCTTCCTGAGTATCAGACCGTACAAAACTTAATACGGACAAACATGTTTTCACGCAGCAAGCCAAGCGGCACACTGGGCAGTTGGGGTGTGGGTATGCGGGGGTTGGATGGGACTTGCGCTACGGATTGGGGTACTCCAAAACCCTGGGCATCACTCGATCCTGGTTCATCGTTCCTCGTTCTTCCTCCCTTCCTCCCCCTCCTCCTCCTCGTCCTCCTCCTCCTCCTCCTCCTCCCCCTCCTCCTCCTCCTCATCATCATCATAATCCTCCTTCTCCTCCTCCTCCTCATCATCACCATCACTATCACCATTACCATCACCATTACCATCAGCATCATCATCAGCATCCTCATACTTATCATCGTCGTCATCATCATCACCATCACCATCACCGTCACCATCACCACCATCATGGCCGTCATCATCACCGTCACCACCATCACCTCCATCATCCTCATCATCATCAGCATCATCATCAGCCACGTCGTCATCGTCACCACCATCGTCATCCCTTTTTTTTCATCTCTCTCTCTTTTTTTCTCTCTCTCTCTCTCTCTCTCTCCGAGACGCGCGTGGTGCACAGGAAAACGTGCGGCGATGATCACACAACAAGTGGGGCAATCGCGAACGTCTTGGAATGTCGGCGAACGCAAGCTTGCCAGCGACATCGTATGAGAGAGGGGCTGGGGCAGCAGCAGCAGCAGGACAGTAGTCAATATCATCATAGTCAATCTCATCATCCACATCAACAACATCATCATAATCATCATCCTGATCAACATCCTCCTCCTCTTCCTCCTCCTCCTCATCATCATCATCCTCATCACCATCACCATTACCATCATCACCTTCATCACCATCACCACCATAACCATCACCATCATAAGCAGCATCAACATCATTACCATTACCACCACCACCATCATCACCAACACCATAACCATCTTCTTCATCATCATTAGCATCATCATCACTATCATCACCTTCATCACCAAAACCACCATCACCATCACCATCACCATCATCATCAGCAGCATCAGCATCATTACCATTACCATTACCACCATCATCATCAACACCATCACCATCACCATCATCATCAGCATGAGCATCCTCACCATCATCATCATCATCATCATCATCATCATCATCACCATCATCATCACTAGCACCAGCATTAGCATCAGCATCAACGTCATCCTCGCTCCTAGCTCCTCGCTCCTCCTCCTCCTCCTCCTCCTCCTCCTCTTCCTCTTCCTCCTTTTCCTCCTCGCTCCTCGCTCCTCTTTTCCCTCCTTTTCCTCCCTTGCACCACCACCACCACCACCACTACCACCACCACCACCACCACCACCGCCACCACCACCACCACCACCACCACCACCACCACCACCACCACTACCACCACCACCGCCACCACCGTCACCGCCACCACCGTCACCACCACCGTCACCACCACCACCACCACCACCACCACCACCACCACCACCACCGCCACCACCACCACCACCACCACCACCCCCTCTCCTCCTCCTCCTCTCCATCCTCAATTCCCACCCCTGGCCGCGGCGCGCGGTCGGGGCCGGCACCCGGGGCCAGCCGTGCCGGCGGCGCCGGCACCAGCAGCGCCTGAGGCCCAGGAGAGGAGGGTTGGCGGAGCGACGTGAAGGATAGCCGCGATGTGGAGGAGAAAGGGGAAGAGGAGGAGGAGGAGGAGGAGGAGGAGGAGGCGGAGGGAACAGGAAAAGAAGGAGGGGGGCGGGCCACCAAGAGCGAAGCGCGCCTCGGGAACCAGGCGCCCCGAACGCGACTATGGAAGAGTGGGCCCCGAACGCGACCACGCAGAGCGGGGGGTGGGGAAGGACGGCGGCCCTGCAACGCAAAGCGGCGAGGCCCCCGACCGCCCCCCGCTGCCACCGCCACCCGCCAACCCGCGTCTCCACGAGCTCCAGCCCGACCTGCAGAGGCCGCCCCTCGACGCCCTCGCCGCGGGGGCGGCTCTGGGCGGTGCGACCCCCGACGCTGACGACGACCGCTTCCAAGCCCGACGTGGGGCCACGGATGAAGAATGGAACGCGAACGTCGGGCGAGACGGCGGGGGTGCCCTGGCCGCTGCCCTGGCCCTTGCCAAGGCCCGCTCGGCGCGGCGGCGGTACATCTGCCCAGGCGTCGCCGGGCTCTGCGGAGGATTTGTGGATCGCCAGGCCGCGGCCCTCCGTCACCTCCGCCGTCGCCGCTGGCGCCGAGCCGCCGCCGCGAGCATCAAGCGCTCCCAAAGGTGCCGACACGCTGCTTGCGCTGCCACGCCCGCCGGCGCTGCCGTCGGCGCCGCGGCGCCGCCCGCAAGCGCTGGCGCTGGCGCCACCTCTGGAGCGCCGAGAGCTGCGACAGGCTGCGACAGCTGCATGCCGCACCAGCTCGGCCGCGCGGGGCAGCCGCGCTCGCTCGCGGGAGCGACCACCTGCTCGGCCGCAGGCGGCGCGCGCGCCCAGGACGGCCCCGCGCGAAACCTCCACGGAACAACAACGCCCGTCCGCCGCCCGCGGTACCGTTGCGCAGCGACCCAGCGCGGTGGAGCCAACGATACGTACTTGAGCCGAACTGTGTTCGAAGACGGAGGAGGAGGAGGAGGAGGAGGAGGAGGAGGAGGAGGAGGAGGAGGAGGAGGAGGACCTTTTTGGACCTTTTGCGCAGCACAGCGTGCTAAAAAAGGAGGAGGGGAAAACAGAGGGAGGAGGCCAAGCACCTGCACCCAAGGTGGCTACTCCGTAGCAGCCACCCCCAGCGCCTCCTCCTCCCCGCAAGGGGAAGAGGGCGCGTGGGAGGGTACAGGGCTTGCCCTCCTGGCACGCTGTGCTGTCTCCCCGGCGACGCACGCGTCCACTAACCTCGCATGCGAAATCGCTTGCGAGGCCTTAGAAGGCCCCGCATAGCTCGGAAACAGCCCGCGTTTAATTCGGCCGAGATTCTCTCGGCCTTTGCGAGTGGGGGGCCCGCAACCTTCGGCCAAATGGCGACCGTCAACGGTCGCGGTCCGACCACATCTGAAACAAAAATGCAGAATGCAGGTCCCAGAATCCCAGACGGTGGGAGGGGTCGAGCTCCAGCCCACCAACAGCGACGCCACCACGAGCCGCGGCCACCACGTCCCGAGGAAATCCAGGAGGGACGACCAGCGGCGAAAAGCACTCCGTCTTCAGGGCCTCTAAGAGGCCCTGTCGGGACGAAAGAACAGAGCACAGTTGGCACCTGAAACGGGACCCGACTGGTATAAACCTGTGAGAGCTGGCCCTGGCCGCGTGCTCGAGGCGTCGGGTCTCGGCGGTCTTCGGCCTGGGCCGCTCGACGTCAGTCGGGGCCTTGGACCGCTTGGGATCCGCCGAAGAGGCGTCCGCCAGAGCCCGCCGAGCCCTTCGACGCACCAGGGCAGCAGTGAGGTCCCAGGCGTCAGTGGCGGGGACGGTCTGGGCGGCCAAGGTCCAGGAGCGCTCAGCGGCTTCAGAAGCCGCTTCATCGGCTAACTGATTACCACTGGCAAGAAAAACTTCGTGATGGGAGAGGGAGGAGTCGTCAGGGGACAGGTGCGAGGGCGTCCATTCGACCGAGACATGCCCTGGGCCTCGGTCGTCGATGGCGCAACGAATTCGCAGCCACAAATCGCTGTTCCTCCCCCCCAAACTCCAAGGTCGGCCCCGACTCCACCCCGTCATGAGAGGCTTGTGGTCAGTCACAAAATGGACAGGACCTGTGGTGCTTTCCAGAAAGAGTGCGAAAGCCTGCAGCTCCGACCTGGGCACCGTTTGCGAGGGGCCTCGCAAAATCTCGGAGATGCCCCCCAAGACGGCCCAACGCAAAGGTCCCTCCCCAGGTCGCGCGTCCCTGACCACAACAACAGCGGAGCCACACCGACGGCGACGAGGGTCGGACGAAAAGCGTCCTCCAGATCCGTCCCCGAAGCCGATCAACGGGCTGCTGCCAGGGTCTCTAGAGCAGGCTCCAAGAGGGACCTCACCTAGTTGGGCTCTGCTCAGGCTCTCCAACGGCTCCCTGAAAACAGGGTGGGTGACACGGGTAGGCGGAACACCTCTCAGCCAAAGGCTTGGTTCAGATTCAACAGACGCTAACGCTTGCGGAATCAAATGATCAGTAGACGTGCAATCACTGTGATCTTTATTGCAGGGGCAACGCCAAATGCGATGCGCAAGAGTTTCTTCCTCCTGCTGGCATCGCAGACACAGGCGGTCAGCGGGCTCACTCAGAGGGTGCTGCCTGTCCATCGTCCACTGGGCGCCCGTGACCACGCACAAATTGAGGCCGAACAGGTCGAGCTCCCCCCTCTTGGCGAAGTGGCTGAGCTCCAGCCTGGCCTAATAGAGGTCAGCTCCCTCAGCCAGGCCATCCCCTGCCATGTGCTTCGAAGCATTGCTCCAAAGCTGAGCGCGAAAATCAGTGACCACGTCGTCCAGCAGCTCGGAGATGTCGAACCCAGTGGGGTCGTAGCCTGCACGTCGTGCGGTTGGAATCAGCCACTCCTCGATTCCTCCGACAGTGGGTCTCCTCCAACGTAGAGCCGAGGGTACTTCCCATCCCGCGTCAAGCAAGGTCGCAATAACAGCTCCAATAGGTCCTTTGACCAGTCTCCATCTCTTGCTGGCGCCAACTGCGAGAAGCCGCCGATGAATGACAGTCCAAGCATTTTCAACTCGATGGTGAATGCTGGTGTCGGTCTTCCAGAGACAGAGAAATTCTGAAAGAAGGCCTCGACGTAACTCCAGGGCTGGATCCTTGAGACCGTAAAGGACCGCCAGCGTTGTCGTAAGACACCTGCCCTTCATGGGCCCAGCTCCCGCCACGGCTGCCTGCCGCCTGACGGCGAGGACGTTGGACGGCGACATGCCATGGGCCTGGTGTCCGTAGGAGCCTTGAGGAGCTGCGCCTGTGGTCCAAAGACCTTGAGCTTCGCGCCGTAGAGGAGCATGTCTGCGTATGCGGGCAATGCGAGCCGCCCTCCTCTTGCTGGCGGTCAACCTCATTCTGGCCTTAGTGACTGTGCGCCGTTTGCCAGAAGCTGCATCAATGCCAAGATCCGTGCCGTGAAGGCCGAACCGTACAGGGATACCTCGCTTCTGCAATTGAGCGGCTGTCCTCCTCCCGTCCTGCGGAACGGTGGCAATGAGAACAGACTTGTCCGAAAGCTTGAGACGGAATTGCTTGGCGAGGTCGGCAAGAGTGACCGTGGCGTGAAGGATCTCTGTCTGGACCTTGGCCTGCGTGCCCTCTGCGCGGGCAACAGTGTCGTCGATGAATGTCCAGAAGGTGCTGAAACTCGCTCTGCGATGTGCCGCCTCCATCAATGGATGTAAAAAACAACTTGGCAATCCTTACCCCATGTGGGGATCCTGCAACAAGTGACCTGGTGGCGTAGATGGCGTCTGTAACGCCAAGAGAGCCACGCAGGAACCGCGGCCCAGCACACATCTCCAACTCCAGTAGCACCACAATCGCTGGGAACTTGAGATCGAGTGCAGCCTGGCCGATGAGGATCCAGGACAACGAGTCGTAGAACTTCTCGAAGTCCAGGAGTAGGGTCGCCGCCGAGATGCCAAGCGCCACTGCGGATTCATCGAGCAGCGCTCGCATGAGACCTGCTCGAAGCGAGCTGCTGCCCGCCACTGCAGTGTCCCAGAAATCAGAGAGCTCCTTAGTCCATGTGGACGTGACGCCTGCTCTCACGCGGGACCAAATCTTCGCCGCCTCTGGAAGTACTCCAATGACCTTCTCTCCTCCTTTGGGTTTGGGTAGTAATGCTCCAATAGATGCCAAGACCTGAGCAGGCCACACTCCATGTTCTTCAATGCTGGTGAGAAGCCTGCAGTAATCACACCGACCTTCGAGTGGAAGTCGCTGGATGTCCAGAGGTGTGATGGAGTCAACTCCGCATGCCTTGGTGCCTAAAACCCTGATAACATTGTCCACCTGCTCGATGCTGACTGGATCCAGCTCCTCCTCACGGCTCTGCGCGTGCAGGCGCTTGAACATGGCGAGGATGTCGGCCTGAGAGTCGACTGGGTCGTGCCAGAGTCTCTCCCAGGTGGATCTGGTGTGTTCCATCCTGATAGTTGGGTCTCCAACGACTCGCCCATCCACTAAGGGGTCGGAATAGACCGCCTTGGGTTCCTTCACCAATGAGTGGAGCAGGCCTGGCTTAGATGTCCAAACTCCCTTGGCCCAACGGATGAAAGAATGCCGCCTCAAGGTCAAGCATCTTGCCTGAGAACGACAGGCCAGCTTCTCAGTTAAGTAGGCAAAATCGTCGCGCTCCATCTCGGTGGCGCAAGCGAATGCGCGCGACCAGGAAATCCACCGCTGCTGATTAGCGGTGCCCTCAGAGCCTGGACCAAAGAAATCAGATGGGTCGAAGCTGCTAGCGTCGTTGGTGTAGCGACCAAGAGCTGCGGTACAATTCGCTATCTGGCGAGGATCCTTGCCATGTCGTAGAAGAGCCATGGTTCTTTGAACCAAGGTGAGAACAGTTCCCCACCATTCTCCAGCTCCATCAGTCATGTGCACTCGCCCTGGGGTAGCTTTGGTCTGCATCCATTGTAAAGAAAATCCAGCTGCGCGTGGAGCCCTCTGTCGAAGGTTGAGCTGATGATGAAGTGCGAAAGCACGTTCCACTCCTGAGGACCACCGCGCGTACTGCCTGGTGACGGCACCAAGGCCAAGTGCGTTCATATGGCCCAACAACTCAGACTCGACCACGCTGCAACATTGAGAGCTGAGCCTCTCCATGGAGGGCTGCTCTTCCCACAGGTCTGAAGGTATGTGAAAAGAGACCTGGGACCCAGGATCCAAAGTGCTCCTTGAAGGGTGTAGTGCATCGTAGTCTTCCAGCAGATCGGGTGGTACGCGTGCCCGTTCTTGCTCTTGCCGTTGGGCTCGAAGTATAGACCTCTTGCTGCTAGGATCCGAAGCGAGATTGGGTCTGGCTACCTTTGGAAACGGTTCAGGTAACAAAAGTTTCTGGTACCACCATCTGCGCATGCCATCGTGGACGCCAACCTGCAGTGCACAATGCGTCTTCCACGGGGCCTGGGGCTGCGACCGAACTCGGTATCTGGACGATGTTCCGTTCTTGGCCATTGCGAAATCAATGAGAGAGCCCTCCTGCCCTTTATCGCACGTGGTGCTGACGTCAGCAGGTAGAATGAGTGTGCCCCCA